CTGCTCCTCTGGCCTACACCCCAGTTCTGTATGCATAAATAAATACATCTTAAAAAGCAGCGAGTGTGCAAAGCAGGCACACCAACCTTGGGTTGTATCACTGGCAAACTTGTGCAAAAACCATCTAAGTGGCTAACGTGGGGGGCAGGATTTAATAAACCGTGGCACGTTTGTATGATGGACCGAAAGCCATCTATGGAGAAACGTTTTCAAGGCATCTTTCATGTCACAGAAAAACGGTTGTGATACAAGGCAGCGTGAGAACAACAGCAGCGAGAGCTATTTATAGTGCAGCTCCCATCTTTCTTTAAGAACAAGCCTCCACCACGCACTTGCAGGAAATACACGCCGTTATACGCGACTATCCAATCGTTAAGTTACCCCCACTTGCACCCCTTAAATAAAAATGTCTCCCATGCCAGCATGTGGCGGATGTGGTGGCCAGCAAGCCCCCATGGCCACACCCCAGGAGAGCAGCCCTGGCACAGATGCTGCCCCTTCTCGCCTAGACCGTCGCTGAGGATTCGGCTCTGTTCAGCCCCAAAGGAGGCCGCCACTATACAAGGGAACCAGGGGCCAGGCCGCTGTGGCAACAGGATATAGTATAAGCACCTGGGGGGTGAAGAATAAGGACTGGAGAGCGGTCACTAGCTCTGGCCACTTGGCCCCCTTGAGAGAAGCAAGTCATGAGCTCCACCTGAGGGTGTGGCGTTGCACTATTTATGTCACTTACAGCCTCAGACTTGCTTCTTGTCCCAGGGCCTGAGCCTCAGTCACGTGCTCAACAGCCCCCATTGAGTGTCCGTCTCCCTGGGCTGTGAAGACAATACTGTGGTTAGCATGATGCCAGCCATGTTGTTACTAACAAAAAACAGGAGAGAGGACAAGAGGCCCCCAGCCCAGGGCAGCCTCGTCAAAAACGCTTCCCAACCACAACCCACCGCCACAGGCGTCTGCCTTTCTCCACCCCTGCCATTTCTTCGGTGTGCAATATCTGAACCTCCCTGGTGGTGGAGGGGTCTAGTCTCAGCGACATCACCACGACAGCCCGAGTCTGATCTGGCCAGGGAGCCAACCCACATGGCACAGCAGACCTCTCCTGTCGCGCCTGCAGCTCCCCTCAGCAGCGAATTTCAGTAAATCTGCCTGTTCTTCTCCCCACTATGTTTCTGATGAATCCTCTCACCCACCACCCCACACCTCTGGCCTGCACCCCAGCTCTTCTACACATAATAAATAAATAAATTCTTTTTTAAAGAATGTACAACAATCCGGACCAGCCCCTAATTTGACGAATCTGGGACCTGACATCCACAATGAATCAAACTTGGGTGAGCACAGAATAGAACTGAGGTAGGCCCAAACTTCCCTTCTCCCAGTCACAGAAGGCAAAGCACTCATTCATCTTCTTTTCTCACAAGGTCACTTGAATCACAGAACACACACAAGAAAGCAGTTTTCTTTCAGTTTCTAAATAGCCATCAAATTCTAAATGCTAGAATTACTTCCCCTGAAACTCAACTTTAAGGAAAAAAGAGAGAGAGAGAGAGATGAGGAATTTGTAGCTACTATCAGGGATTTATTCAAAAGAGCAACTTCTAGAGAATGTCAAAAGGCCTAGTAAGATCCATGTCCACACCCCTCCCACCTCCTTGTGTCTTCCTACCAGAGAATCGATGTTTAGGCTGAGAACACCCAATGTCTGTGTCGATCACAAAGTCTCTCCAAAGACAAGTCAGAATTTGTTCAGCATCTGTGATACTTGGCTGTTTCCAAACTTGACGCCTGAAGTAAGACAGACACGGTGAATCTCAGGGAATCCTAACCACCCATTCTCTGAGACGTTTACGCTACATCACTTTTGAGGTAGAGAACTAAATGGAGCCAGTTACGTTCCAACACCAGTTACCTTGAATTAGGTCTCCCCTAAGTATTTTGCAGCCACACACAAAGGCTGGCCCCAAGTCCAGAATCCCCTCACTGCAGACCCACGTCTGCCCCGTGACATGGCTGCAATAAGCCGGAGCCCTCCCGGAACAGAAAGCTTCCAGGAGTGAAAAATCTACGTGCTGGGTTTCCAGGTTTTGGAGGGAAAGCCCAGTGGAAGTGGAAGGGGCTGGAAAATGCCCAGCACAGCTGCTGATAAGTGCCAGTGTTCACCTGCTGCGCTCCCAGTCAGCCCCGCGGGGCTGGCGGCCTGCCTTTGCAGCCATCGAGGGTGAGGTCATGGCGATGCTGGGGTACTCTACACGGAACCCTTCAGGATGATAATGGTTTGTTTTTATTCCTAAGTCCTTGCTGACTTTGGGTACCGAACAGATAAGCACTAGACATTTCTCACACCTCACCCACTGTGTCTTATCAAGAGCACCGCATTTCCTAGCTGGGTCAGGAAATGACTATCAGTTTCAACTCAAGAGAAAAATAGCCCATGGGACAGACATTTGGTGGGAGAACACAGCTCAGATTCTCCTCCCCCATGGCTATGTCTCCAACGGAGAGGATGTTTCCTCGGTCAGAGGCAGAAATGGGAAGACTGACCAGAAAGAGGCCGGGCTGTGCATTCAGGTCTCCGGACTGGAAGGGTCTGGTGGGTCACTGGTCCCCCGACCTCTGACCGCACACCACCTAGCCACCCTTGGCACTCCAAGAAGGGACTTCCCTACCCTGAGGTGAGGCTGCCTGCTCTTTCTTTGGCATCTACTGGCCCCACAGTTTCCTGTTTGAACTCGCCAGCCCCACAATTCCCGCTGAAGCCAAGAAAAAGAAACTGGACTCTTCCATCTGCAGTTTGCAAGTCTACAGCTCTCTGTCCCCTTTGCTTCTAAAAAGACCCCTTCCTTTCTCAGGCCCAGAGGGAGGCCAGTCACTGCTCAGCATGGGGACCTTGGGGGGAGACAATGGGCTGGTCTCTCAGCGTTCTGCATCACCTGGAATCAGGAAAATCTTGATTTTCAAGGCTGTGCTTTTGGGCCAAGAACTGCAGAGAATGGCGTGGATGCCAAGAAGTCAAAGGCAAGCTAGAATCTTCCAGAGAAGAAATGGATCCCTGGTGAGATGGGAATTTCCTGCCAGGGAGAGCCCATCCGTGACCCAGGATAAGGGGGGCGGTGCACGCACAGGTGAGGACACCCCTTCAGTGGGGAGCCCCACGGACCGCCGGAGGAAGCGGCTTCCTTCTGCCACTGACAAACCCCCGCCTGGGAGACAGGGCCTCGCTGTAGCAGTCACCAGCTCAGTGTCCACAAAGTCCATGCCTCGGAGTGGACCAGGGTGTACTGGCAAATGGACCCCCCCACCGACCCTCAGGGGTCTCCTGTCAGAAAGGGTTTTTTGTTCCAGGACCCCTAACTCATTTTTAGGGGCTAAAAGTTAAAATCCACTGAACGTCTTAATTTTGATGTGTAGAGAGCTCAAATGTGGCTGGTTTCCGGTGGGCTCTGTCTCCCCCAGCCCAGAAGGTCCTTTGCTTTCCTCTAGGGCGCCTGGCAGCTCATAGAATCGGGCACGCGGGGGCACCTGGGCCCCTCTCGCCGACACTCTTCCTGGGGATCTAACCCCCCTGCTTTGGGTGGCCTTGAGGTTTCCACAGGAAGCGAAGAACGAGAAGACACACCAAAGAAAGACCCTGGAGACTGGGTGTGTTCCAAGCGTGAGATCACTTTCTTTTTATTGCCGTCTTAACAAAAATACTGGGGAGGCAATCTTTGACTCCATCATCGGAGGGCAGGGCAATGCCAAGCAATCAAGCCATCAGGCTGTCAGACGGGGGACTGTTGAGTTTGGGGAAGCAGGCACCCCCAAAGAGCCACAGAAGGGGGCGATGGAGCCAAGAACACGAGAACCTCACGGTGGCCTCACTTAGCCGCTTGAGACAAAGCTGAGCCTGGGTTCGGAAGCAGCACCCCAAGAAGGCCTCCCGGGCCCCACTGCAGCTGGAAGGCTGGGGCAGGAGCTGCTGCCAGGGTCAGATTCAGGCCGGGGAGCAAAGAGCTCGATGAGCGGCCCCCAAGTCAGAGCTCAGCTTGCACCTGCCACTCCCTAACCTGCCAACGCTTCAAGAACAGGGCTGTCTCCCACACTCCACACCGGAAGCCAGAGCTGTGTGCAGCTGATGCGAATGCAGCCCAAGCAAGCAGAGGCGAGGCATGCTGGCGCCTGGACCCGCGCGGGACCCCTGCTGGGCCCTGGGCTCCGTCACCAGCCAGAGGAGCAATCTCCTGCTGGTCCCCACACAGGGCCCTGCCTCTCCCCAGCCGCTGGCCGCCGGCCTCGGTGCCCAGGTGGGGGTCTCGCCTCCTAGACACTGCCATCGCCGTCCTCGCACACCAGGGGACTGAGGCAGGGCGGGCAAGGAGCCACACCCGTCCCAACTCCAGATCTGGTCTCTCTTAGGGGACCCACAGTCTCCGCTTCCAGTCCTGCCCTCTCCCGGCTCCCCCCACTAACTGTTGTGTTACTTGAAATGCAGGTGATGGTGGGAATGATGATGATGAGCCCCAACCTGGCAGCCTCTCCAGCTGTCCTGAGAAGCCCCCGAGGGTCGACATCTGCAAGTGTGAGGAGGGAAAAGCAAAGGACTCTGGGAATGTAAGGTGGCCTTCTTCCTCCGACAGCATCCTGTTCTTCTCCCCACTGCACGAAAGGCAAGCACAGCAGCAGAGCACGCGAGGGCAAGCGGAAGGCTGAGGCGGGACCGCACCCTCCCTGCCCCCCAGGGCACACCGCCCTCGGGGAGGGGCGGGCAGGTCTCCCCAGGAAGGCCTGAGCCCCACCGGTGCATCCGCAGGCCTTGGCCTTGGAAAGCGGCAGAATCGGGGCCTGGGAGGCTGAGGCAGCAGCCCTAAGGATGGAAGCAGATCCCACTCAGACGCCTCCCACTCCCGCGCCTCCCTCTCCTGCAAGGCCTGCTGCCAGGTTGGAGGCCAAGAGGAGGCTGACCCTCCAGGCCAAGCAAGCGTCAAGCAGGGAGCTTTTCCTGCATCTTGAGCATTTGCCGAAGATGAGGGAGCAGGGCTGAGCACATGCTCTTGGGGCACAGGGCGGCCGACCTGTGCTCGCTGGGGGAGGTGACAGCTCCCCCCAAAATCCTACAAGGGTCCTGGACATAGACTGGCCTCATGTCAAGACCAGAAAAGCTTCTCCATCTCTCTTCCTCCTAGTGCAGACTGGCCGGGTTAGAAATTGTGCTTTCTCTTCCGAGACCTGGTAGTCCGTGCAGGGGCTGGTTCTGGGGGGGCAGGTGGGGGCTCCACCGGTGGGGCCTCAGCCTGGGGGGTAGAGCCCATGGGGGCGGCCCCGTCTGGCCCCCGCCGAGATGTCTGAACCCCATCCCGGATCTCTGTCAGGGTCTGGCACATCTGGCCGACACGGCTGCTCAGCTCGGCCATGGCCTGGCCGATGGCGTGAATGCTGTTTGCCATGTCCCGGTGCACCGTCACCAGCTCCTGGCAGAACTGCTGGAACACCTCAGTCTGCTGGGCGTGGATGTGAAGGAGCTGCCAGTCCAGGCCCATAGTGGGAGGGCTGGGGTGCAGCCGGGGGTTCCTGCAGGCAGCCTGGGCCTGGGCCGAGGGCCTGGGCAGGGTCTCTGGCTTGGGGCCCACGGTCTCCGACTGGTCCGAGGAAGAGGATGAGCGGAGCAGCGTGGGCCTGGCCAGGTGGGCCTCTTCTTCCGGGGACCGCTGCAGGGACATCCGCAGAGGCTGCCTCGAGGGCCCGGGGGCCTCCTCATCTTCATCATCTTGGAGGACAGAAACAAAGAAGAGCAAATGATTACAACAAGGAGAAAGGGGGCAGCCCTGGGCTTGCCAACCACCCCCAATCACTCTAGCATCCCCTACCCTGCCACCCCTCAGCCTAATTCAGCACACGCCTGCTCCCTACCCACCCACGGAGAGATACCTGCTCCCCGAATCCAGGCACCCCTGGGGGAAGGGGAGCGAGTAGTCCCCTGCCTCTCACAGATCAGTGGTGTTCCATGGCCGACCCCAGCCCCAGCAACAGCATGGAACCTAGGGCTCACTTCATCTTCTGCCTACCTACCTGCCCCCGGCCCACCGAGGGGGGCAGAACAGACAAGTAAGGAAAACCACACGCCAGAACAGACAAGTAGCTCTTTGCAAGCTGAATGAGAGCCACTCGCCAAAAAGCGCCAGGATGCCCTGGTCACTCAGTTCCAGGCTCTGTGAGGCTATTTCTGAGTTGCTTGGGGCCACCTTGTGGTCTTGCTGAAATCTGCAAGTTAACGTAGCCCCAGGGGTACGAAGGGATGGAGAAGCTCTGGAAAGGACAAGCCCAGCAGGGGTGGCACAGAACCCTCTCTGCAGCCAAACTGGGCCCCCCTCTTCCCCGCCCCCGGCAGGCTGCCTGAGCAGACACACTGCTTTCAGCTGGGAACCCCTGGGAACCCCTGACAGCCACGGACACCATCAGACAGCTACCTGCAGCCCACACCAAGGAGGCCCAGGCTCTGCGCAGGACGGTCTTGGCCTTCAAGAGGAAGGTTGAGGGGAGACTGCCCAGGCAGGAGCAACACTGGGGCTGACCCAGACGGCAGGACAACCGCCCCCTGCATCTGGGGGGCCCAAGTCAGATCCACCTTCAGGGGGATCCACCCTCGGGGGGGGAGTGGAGGACAGATTCTACTGGCCTATAGCCACAGCCTCCCAAGGGACCCAGGTCCCACTTGGGCCGGCACCCCAAAGGGGGCCTGGCGCCAGGTGACTGCAGAGACCTGGAACACCTGCTCTGGCGGAAAGGGACGGTGTGGCTGGCTGGGTCGCCGGGAAGCTGCCCCTTCCTTCCTGGGCCCCACCTGCGGGGAGCGGGGCTGCCCAGGGCACCTGCGGTGGCCTCATCGTTACCTTCAGTCTCAGGGAGGTGGAGGGGAAGCAGGGCAGGATTTAAGGTACAGACTTCAGTGGGTGCCCAGGCCCCTTCTTTTTCTCATGATTGGGCGGAATCACCATGAACTCAACAAGCCAGATTCACGGGTGGCTGGCGGGCTGGGTGTGAGTCCTGATTCTGAATTGAGCTCTGGGGCCACCTCTGTCTCTGGAGCTTAAGCTGCTTCATCTGGATAAGGAAGAAGTTGAGCTAGATGGTCTCCCCGTTCCTCCCAGTCCTGAGAATCTGACTGCGATCGGCCACCTGTCAGGAGCCCCAGCCAAGCAGGAAATTAGCAAGATCCCGACCACAGGGGCCTGGGAAGGGGGGCGTTCTGTGAACCCACGGTTCCGTGGGCTGGGCTGCCTGCTCGCTGCTCGCTCGCAGGCCAGCCGGCCTCCAGCTGGAACCAGGGGCTGAAGGCGGGGGGCGGGTGTGTGCAGAAGCAGAACTGAAGTGGGTGCAGCCCAGCACAGAAAGGCCCGGACGGCCTCCCCTCCTGGGGAACCCCAACTGGAACCACAGACCCCCAACAGATGCCAATCTCGGCCAGCTGGGCCAGATGCTGCTCCCCAGAGCCCTGGCTTCCAGTCCTTCTGCTCACAGGGTGCAGAGGGGAAAGTGGGGAAACAGCTGAGGAGAAGAGGGGTGGAAGAGGCGGGGGTTGGGGGGCAGTAGGAACTGGAGGGACCCAAGGACGACAGAGCGAGGGACCTGAGAGTCTCAGGGAGGCACAAAGGAGGGACAGAGGGGAATGCAGACAGGCTCCCAGATACAGCCAAGGAGCAGACAAAGGACTGATCTCTCGTGGCCTGGGCCTGAAGGCTTGGCCGGCTTCCTGCCACGCCCCTCCCCCTGGCCCGCCTGCTTCCCGGGGCTTCCTGGCTTCTCCACCGGGACGTGCCAGCGCCTTCCTGATGCTGGGCCCGTGTACATGCCGTTCTCTGAGGCTGTGCCTGCGAGGCTCTCCCCTCCCCTCCCCTGCTCCCCACACCCCGGCCTGTGCCTGTGAGCTCCCCCCTCCCCTCCCCTGCTCCCCACACCCCGACCTGTGCCTGCGAGGCTCTCCCCTCCCC